TCTCTCTCTCTATTTATTTATTACTTTCAGCTCAACATCAATATCACTGTTTTTATTTCGACTCCCACCATTATTATTATCATCATCATCACCACCACCACCATCATCACCATCATCACCATCATCACCATCATCGTCATCATCACCGCGACTACCACCATTACCACTATTATTGTTATTCCACTGAAAGATGGTGGTGGTGGTGGTTGGGAATGGGGCAGATAGTGGTTAGTGTTTGAGGATGATGGTGGTGGTAGTAGTAGTGGAGGAAATAAGCTCCTATAGTGCAAATAGTGGCAATCAAAGCAGGTAGTAGTAGCTGTGAAGTAGTAGTAGTAATAGTAGTAGTAGTATTAGTAGTAGTAGTAATAGCAGTAGTAGGTACTTAGCAAGCTATGACGTAGGTGGCACAACGCAGGAGGTCACCAGGAAAGTGCCAGGTCACATCCTCAGTGCCAGTGGTAGTGCCTGTCAACCGATAGTGGCACTACATCGTACAATTGGGTCACTGGCAGCTGAACAAAATGTCAGTTGGTGAAATTTACTCCTTCCACCTCAACACCTCCCACACATACACACACACACGCGCACACACACACACACACACACACACACACACACACACACACACACACTGAACATAGAGTTTAATATATTGGGTCACGTGAAGATTAGCCGCCCCCGCAGCATACTACACACCACGATTTAAACACACTAACCTAACCAAACCTAACCTAATCTAACCAAACCTAACCTAATCTAACCAAACCTAACCTAATCTAACCAAACCTAACCTAATCTAACCAAACCTAACCTAATCTAACCAAACCTAACCTGACCTGACCCCCCCCTTCAGGTAGCGTTAGCGTCATTAGGTGAAATACCCTGGGTGGGGGGAGGGGGAATTTTCAGGTGACTTTACTTCATTCACTACTTTCGTAAGAACAAGAATATCTACCTTTACATTAAGAAAGAAATGAATGAAGTAAAAGATGGAAGGAATAGGAAGGAAGGAAGGAAGGAAGGAAGGAAGGAAGGAAGGAAGGAAGGAAGGAAGGAAGGAAGGAAGGAAGGAAGGAAGGAAGGAAGGAAGGAAGGAAATCCATCGCTCCAACTTCATTCACCATCTCGTAATATCCATCCATGAAGCATCAAAGAAAGAAGTGAATGAAGTAAAGAGAAAAAATGAATGAAGTGAATGAAGTGAAGAGAAAAAATGAATGAAGTGAATAGAAAGAAATGAATGAAGTGAATACATAGAAATGAATGAAGTAAAGAGAATGAAAGAAGTTAATTAAAATATAGGAAATAAATATATGAAATAAAAGAAATGTATGAAATGAAAGAAATTAATTAAATGAAAGATGAATGGGAAGGAAATCTCTCTCTCTGGGCTCATATGTTCAATAGACTCTCTACAGCCTTTGTAAGATGAATGATACACGTTTAGAGGAGAGAGAGAGAGAGAGAGAGAGAGAGAGAGAGAGAGAGAGAGAGAGAGAGAGAGAGAGAGAGAGAGAGAGAGAGAGAAGGAAGGAGGGAAGGGACAATCAAATGTAGAGGGTCAAATGCCAGGTGTTTAGTGCCACTGTTGGGGTGCCAACCACTAGATGCCAACCAGCCTGCCTGCCTAACTACCACTACCGCAACTACCATCACCTTCACCACCAACAAACAAATACCAAGAACAAGTAATTTTTCTACTCCCACAATCACCAGCCACAAGCTGCCACAATCACAACCATCCACAAGCCACAAACTACCACAATCACAACCATCTACAAGCCACAAACTACCACAACTACTACCTACACAGTAACTTGCAGTCTATTCAGTAACAACAGGTGAGGTACAGGTACAGTAATTACCATATTGATTACAGGTACAGTAGGAAGTATAATGGACAGGTACAGTATATATATATATACCTGGTGGGTTACAGGTACAGTATAATGAACCGGTAAGGTAATTACCTCATTAGTGATAGGTACAAGAGTGAGTGTTAAGTATAGGTACACAGTAATTACCACACAGGTGAAAATTTGAGCCAGGTATGACACAAACTTCTCATTGATACATCGAAGCTAATGACTTTCTAATGAGCCACTCCTTCCCCCCTCTCCTCTCCACTCCGCCTCTCCCCTCTCACATTCCCTCACCCCTCCACCACCCAATCCCTCTCCTCTCCCCCCCCACTCATTCCTTACCTCGCCCTTACTAAATGTTATAACGATCTTTATAATACATTCAGAGTGGGTGGCGAAGGGGAGGGGGAATGGAGTGGGTGAGGGAAGAGAAAGAAAGAGAGGGGGAAAGAGAGGGGAGAAAGAGGGTGAAAGGGAGAGAATAACGAACGAGAGAGAGAGAGAGTCCCCTAGTGCCTCTAAGTGACGTACACCCACCAACTCACCCACACACCCACTCACCCACCCACACACCCACCCACACACCCACTCACCCACCCACACACCCACTCACCCACCCACCCACACACACCCACCACCCACCCACACACCACCATCCACACACCCACTCACCCACCCACACACACCCACTCACCCACCCACACACACCCACCACACATCCACACAACCACCACCCACCCACACACCCACCACGCATCCACGCATCCACACAACCACACCCACCCACACACCCACACACCCACCACCCACCCACCTGCACACACCCACCACCACCCAACCCACCCACACACCCACCCACACACCCATCCACACACCACCACCCACCCACACACCCACCACTCCACCCAACCCACCCACACACCCACCACTCCACCCACACACCCACTCCACACACCCACCCACCCACCCACACACCCACTCACCTACACACACCCACACACCCACCCACACACCCACTCACCCACCCACACACCCACTCACCCACCCACACACCCACCCACTAAGGAAGGGAGGATGAAGGAGACATAATCCAGTATTGGTTTGTCTCTTTTGTTCTGATAGTGACGCTGTTACCACCACCTGTGTGTGTATGTATGTATGTATGTATGTATGTATGTATGTATGTATGTATGTATGTATGTATGTATGTAAGTATGTATGTATGTATGTAACTATGTATGTAACTATGTATGTATGTATGTATGTATGTATGTATGTATGTATGTATGTATGTATGTATGTATGCATGTATTTGTGTTTATGTATGTGTGTATAAACGTGTGTATATGTATGTACGTGTGTGTGAGTGCATGTGTGTGCGTGTGTGGTAAAACGAGGCCTTGGGAACGCACCCTAGCGACCTACCTCAACACACAGACACCCGAGCAGCATCACCACCAATCATAACAGTATGGCTAGGTTAGGTTAGGATAGGTTAGGTTAGGTTAGGGTGTCTATTATTGCCCTACAAGCTTGCGGCTGTTCTGTTTACTGTTGTTCACCCCGCTGTTCTGCCCCCCCCCCCCCAACCAGCACTTATTTGGCACTTGGATTTGCTCTCTCTCTCTCTCTCTGTTTTCCTGATCCTTACCGACATTTACACCACCTCACCAACACACCTGACCCACCTCACCAACACACCTAACCCACCTCCCCAACACATCTAAACCACCTCACCAACACACCTGACCCACCTCACCAACACACCTGACCCACCTCCCCAACACACCTGACCCACCTCACCAACACACCTGACCCACCTCACCAACAACTGACCAGCGTAATAAGAATGCATTCCTTATTACTCATCAAAACATCTGGCTTCTGGCACCCCTCTCTGCCTCCAGGTTTCGTGGCATTTGGTGTTAATCTGTCTTGGCCTCCTACAGTGGCACTGCAAGTTGATTTGATCACACTCCCTCCCCCCCCACCAATAAACACATTGGACACCCGCATTATTATTACAATCAACTGACTTTAACACTCATGTAATTAAACACTATGAAACTTTTAACACTAATATATTGGGGCTGAGGTGTGATAGTAGTAGTAGTAGTAGTAGTAGTAGTAGTAGTAGTAGTAGTAGTAGTAGTAGTAATAATAATTCGACGGATGCTTTGTGTGTGTGAGGTGTGTGTGTGTGTGTGTAATAATGTCGAATATGTCCCTGAACGCTCTTCTCAGTCCTCCGATAGGTGTCACACACACACACACACACACACACACACACACACACACACACACACACACACACGTGACAGCTCCCAAGGGAACACCCAAATCAGGTTACCGACAAAGCCTTCCTATACTCTCGCGTTACCAAGAATTAAGGCACAGTAATCCGCGTTCACCCAGCTTACGACTGTTGTCTCCTATAACTGGTATTAAGTGAAATTATTTAAAGCACTGTAGAGTCTCCGTGTAATCTTACTCCCATATTGGTCATATATTTAGGGTTGTAGTTTAAGCCAGTCAATGATATACCTTCTTACAGTCTGTCTGTCTGTCTGTCTGTCTGTCTGTCTGTCTGTCTGTCTGCATTACCAGGTAGTACATTCCTAAATACATGAAGTTAAGACAATATCAAAGAGGAAAGTTCTATGTTTATGAGCGACTTACAGTGTATTAAAGACTGTCTGACCTAAAAAAAAAAGGGATTACGTGAAGATTGAACACCCTAACGCTTACCTGGGGGGAGAGGGTTAGGTTAGGTTTGTGTTACGTTTGGTCAGGTCAGGTCAGGTCAGGTCAGGTCAGGTTAGCTTAGGTTAGGTCTTGCATCAACTCATCCTTCACCATCTTAACAATAACAGGAAATATATTAAGATGATAATAAGATGAATGATAGAGAATAATAAGATAAAGAATAACAATTACCAAACAATATAGATGATAAAAACAATATGATAAAACACACAAAAAAAAATTAACCCTTTGAGGACGACAGGTTTAAGACCATTCAAAGACGAAACTTTAAGAAATAGTCAACGAGGAGTTAAACCGTCGTCTTCAGAGTTAAACCCTCGTCCTCAAACAGTTAAGCCCTCGTCCTCAAGGAGTTAAACCACCATCATTGAGATGGTCTTGAAGGAGTTACTCACCTGATCTGGGGAGGTAAGGTGAGCTGGGGTCGTAGCTGGAGGAGGACATGGGAGAGAGCGCGTTGCCGTTGGAGGGATGACCCATAGATCCCCCTGAAAGTCCATTGGGGTTCTGGGGCGGCGGAGACAACGAGTCAACGCTCATGGCCCCGGGGGAAGGAGACCACTCGGCATCACACCGAGGCTTCTTCGGGTGTCCGGGGTAGTCCGAGGGCCCCGAGGGTGACACAGGGGGCTCGTTCTTCACCATAATACCCATGGGGGACACCGGAGAGCGTGGAATCCCCGAGGGTGATTCTCCAAATAAGGGAGAGCCGCCAACGTAAGGAGAGGTGGAGGGCGAGGGATCCGGCTTCGGGGAGACGAGTGTGTGTACCAGGGAGGGGTGTGTGGGAGGTGACCGGCGACCCATCAGCCCGCGGCCCCGGTGGGAGGAGTCGCGAGGGAAGTCCATTGTCACGCACACACCATCACACTCTGTAAGGCGGAGGAGACGGCCGTTAGTGTCGTAATGATCATGTTATTACCTTAAATACTTTTACTATTACTTCTACTACTCTACTACTAATACTACTACTAATAATAATATCAATGATCTTCAAATAATAATAACACTAATACTCACATTTACAACAATAAGTAAAATAATAACATTAATAAGAGCATAAACAATATAAATATTATTAATCATCATCACCATTATCCCCACCATCATTATCATCACGACCACCAAACATCATCATCACCATCATTACGACCACCATCATTATCATCACCATCATCATCACGACCACCATCATTATCATCACCATCATCATCACCCCCTTAGTGTCCACCCTGGTAGATATCATGGCAGGCAGGATAATGATAACTCCTCTGGTTATCATTATTGTGGACGATAACGACTCAGGTCTGTATCCTCCTGTGCCACCCCGTTAAAAAAAATAAGCCGGTCCCAGACGCTCTTTTATGTGTGACCGCCAAGGACACACACACACGCACACAGATTTACACACATACTGAAGGACACACACAGACTTACTCTCACACAAATTGACAAACGTACATGTATATACGCATATATACTTACAACAACTTAGAGGAGACACACACACACACACACGCGCGCTGGAGAAAAAACAATAGTAAGCGACCTTTCTTTCTCCCTGACAACCCCTCCTATCCCAGTCCACACAGGTGTGGCTCTACCCTCCAGGCCACAGGTACCCACCCTCCCCAGGGCCACACAGGTGTACTCTACCCTCCCAGGGCCACACAGGTGTACCTACCCTCCAGGGCCACACAGGTGTACCTACCCTCCAGGGCCACACAGGTGTACCTACCCTCCAGGGCCACACAGGTTCCACCCCAGGGCCACACAGGTGTACCTACCTCCCAGGGCCACACAGGTGTACCTACCCTCCCAGGGCCACACAGGTGTACCTACCCTTCCAAGGGTCACACATGTGTAGGCCACACTCTTGGGCCACACAGGTGTACCTACCCTTCCAAGGGTCACACATGTGTAGGCCACACTCTTGGGCCACACAGGTGTACCTACCCTCCCCAAGGCCACACAGGTGTAGGCCACCCTCCTGGAATACACAGGTGTACCTACCCTTCCCAGGGCCACACAGGTGTAGGCTACCCTCCTGGGCCACACAGGTGTACCTACCCTTCCAAGGGTCACACATGTGTAGGCCACACTCTTGGGCCATACAGGTGTAGGCCACCCTTCTGGGCTACACAGGTAGAGGACGCCCTTCTGGGCCACCTGGAACATGTGGGTCGTGGCGTAACACCTGCACAAGTTCGACCTCAATATCTTTTTACAGGCCAACTTTAGCATGCAGGTGCGAGACACACCTGTATTGAGGTCAACTAATGTCACGGAACTTTTTCACATCACGGAACACAATGACACTATTACATAAACTCCTAACACCAAGTACAGTACAGTACAGTATGTCCTGTAATACACTACATCTACGAGCCACGTCACGGAGATTACCTCAGCCTGTATATTTTCAGCCTTCTGGCTGCCAAGCTCTTTCAATAAACCGTTAATTATTATTATTATTTATTATTAGCCTATTGGTCGCGTGAAACATGACATCACGAGAATGCTTTTTATCTATTGATTGCGGGAATATGACGTCACTGGAATTACTATCAATTGGTTGCACATGTGACGTCACGACAATTACTTCAGTCTATTGGTCGCGTAACACGTGGCGTCACGGCAAGAGCATCAGGTACACACTTTACAGGCCATGGTATTTATCCATACTTAAAAAGAGTGGATAAGTGGACAATAAGGCGTCTACTCTAGTGTGTGTACATTCCTATCACCGTTAAGTAAGGCCACTGGTAACTAGGGCACACCGTACACAGCTAACTGAACTACACTGCACGACTTGGAATCAATGTCTGGTATATTAAGGTCACTCGGAACACCTGTCAACTATAGACACATGTAAATGAACACACCTGTGCCTTCACTGGTCATTAACACTCAGCACAACAGTTGCTTCAGTTTAATATGTACAGTACAGCCTTTAGTGGATAGTGCTAACCCTTGTATGTATGTATGTATGTATGTATGTATGTATGTATGTATGTATGTATGTATGTATGTATGTATGTATGTTTGTTTGTATGTATGTATGTATGTATGTATCAACATACATGAGCGCGTGAACCAGAACATAGTCAAACACACAAGTACGAATCCATATACAAACACACACGAACGAGTATTATATTCGTGTATACATGTGTGTGTGTGTGTGTGTGTGTGTGTGTGTGTGTGTGTGTGTGTGTGTGTGTGTGCGTGTTACATTAAATTTAATATTCCACTTAAGAGACACAATCAAGACGAGTACACTTAATAGATGTACTGTACACATGTCCCACTTAGATACAGTCATGAACACTTACATACACTTGCACAGCCTTGAACACTTACATACACTCAAACAGTCATGAACAATTACATACACTCAAACAGTCATGAACGCTTACATACACTTACACAGCCTTGAACACTTACATACACTCAAACAGACATGAACACTTACATACACTTGCACAGCCTTGAACACTTACATACACTCAAACAGTCATGAACACTTACATACACTTGCACAGCCTTGAACACTTACATACACTCAAACAGTCATGAACAATTACATACACTCAAACAGTCATGAACGCTTACATACATTTACACAGCCTTGAACACTTACATACACTCAAACAGTCATGAACACTTACATACACTTGCACAGCCTTGAACACTTACATACACTCAAACAGTCATGAACACTTACATACACTTGCACAGCAGCGAACTTGCCCACATACGCTTTCAAGCAGTCGCCGAACAATTGCATACCTCAATGATCGCCAGACGGCTTCCGCCACCCGCCACGCAGCCTTGAACATAACATGCACTCAAACCGGTCACCAGACAACATACACTCCAAACAGTCGCGAACGCCACATACTTACTCAAGCAGTCATGAACACTTACATACACTGCCCAGCCTTGAACGCATACACTCAAACAGTCATGAACACTTACATACACTCAAACAGTCATGAACACTTACATACACTAACACAGCCTTGAACACTTACATACACTCAAACAGTCATGAACAATTACATACACTCAAACAGTCATGAACACTTACATACACTTACACAGCCTTGAACACTTGCCTCCGCCCGTTCACATTACTCATGTCCTAAATACACACATGTCTGCACTGTCCGTATGTAGGTTGACCCTGTGTGTGTGTGTGTGTGTGTGTGTTTACTGTACATATGTAGGTTGACCCTGTATGTGTGTGTGTTTACTGTACATATGTAGGTTGACTGCACTCAGTATATGAATAAATTAAGAAACGCTATGAGTGAGAGGGGGGGGGGGTCGTAAGAGACGCCAGGCGCTGCTGAGTGCTCGTGGTGGCGGTGTGTTTGTGTTTTGACAGAGAGGAGAGTCTCCGTAGAGGGACCTGTCCTCGCCGGCCAATTAGGAGCTAATTAACTATTATCTATTAATGCGTCCACTCGCCGCCACCACAAACACCCTACTGGTGACACCCTTAGCTTGTCTTCCTCCTTCTCCTCCTCCCTATCCTCCTCTTCTTCCTCCTCGTCTTCCTCCTCCTCCTCCTCCTCTTCTTACTCCTCCTATTCCACATCCTCTCCTTCCTCCTCCGACTCCAGCAAACCCCCGTTACCAGGCACCCATCCACCCACCCGCAGCCCATGCCCACTCACCCACTCGCTACTTACAGCTGCCTTCCACTCCCCACCCGCAGCCCTCACCCACCCCGCAGCCCACTCCCTCCCACCCACCGCAGCCCCACGCCCCACTCACCCACACCCACCAGACCACGCCCACTCACCCACCGCAGCCCCGCCCCACTCACCCACCCGCAGCCCACGCCCACTCACCCACCCGCAGCCCACACCCACTCACCCACCCGCAGACCACGCCCACTCACCACCCGCAGCCCACGCCCACTCTCACCCACCCGCAGCCCACGCCCACTCACCCACCCGCAGCCCACACCCACTCACCCACCCCGCAGACCACCCACTCACCATCGTCATCTTAGGCCACATACCGAGTGGTCTTCAAGGTCGACCTCACAAGATCCAGATCACTCACAAATGTCACTGGCCGGCTGCGTCCACCACCATCACCACTATTACCACCATCACCACTACTACCACCATCACCATCATCGTAACCACCACCATCCGCTCCTCTATTACCATCGCTAACCCCAAAACCACCACCACCACCACCACCATCCTCAGTACCACTGCTACCACCATCGCTACCACCACCACCACCATCATCCTCCATGCCTCTGCTACCACCATCTGCTACCACCACACCACCCATCCTCCAGTACCACCGCTACCACCACCACCACCACCACCATCATCCTCAGTACCTCTACTACCACCATCACCATCATCCTTTGTACCTCTACCACCACCACCACTACAATATCCTGCTACCACTCCAGAGGCCGGATACCTGAGATCAAGCCGGCCCCTACACCCCCCACCTCGTATCATCCACATGTATTAAATTAAACACACACACACACACACACACACACACACACACACACACACACACACACACACACGCACGCACACACACACACACACACACACACGAGCCAGTACAGAACTAGAGTGCCACACAATCCCAGTGGAGTAGTTCACATAGCCATTATATCAGTGCCAAAGCCAAGGCACTGTACCCTGACCACCTGCGCCTATTTTGACCAATTTACCTGACATGTGTACAAATTGGGCAGAGTTTGTTTGGTTATGTTATTCAGATAATAATAATAATAATAAAAATAATAATAATAATAATAATAATAATAATAATAATCAGTAATTAATTTTCATCTATTTTCACTAACTACATAATTATTTCT